CCTGTCCAGCTGAGGAGGGGGGAGTGATAGAATGGCTTTGGTGGGCACCTGGCATCCAGCCAGGGTCAACCCACCACATAAGTATATTCCAATAACTAAAGAAAAGGAATCCTGCTTGGTGAGTAAAGATGGTCACACTAAACTGCAAGAACCTAGTAGGTTTTGTTTATTGTTAGAAATAGCAATGTAGAATTAAAATGACTGCCAGACTAGTTTAATACAACAAAATATAGACTCACTAACATAAGGACTTTGGATGACCAAAGAACAAAGAAAGGATGTAAGACAGTCACCACCTCCCTTTGAAGGAAGACAGTGCTCTGCAGATGTCTAGAAGGGAACTGACAGACACTTTTAGGAGCTTTGGAATCATGGCAAGTTCAGTGTTGCAGAGAGGAAGTCCTTGCAACACCAGAGTGCAAAGCCACTAAAGAGAGGACAAGGAGAAGCCCACCTTAATCAGTTACATTCATAGATGTGGAATGACCCCATGTTTTAAATGTTATGTTCAAACTGATACATTGAAAATCACTCCCTATATTCTTGTCCAGGTGCACGAGCTTTGTCTTGGGGATGAAAGCTAAATGCGCCCCAAATACTCACCTCTTCTGTTCTGTTTTCATTTGTTTTGTACACTTTTTTATACCTCTGGATCAAGGTGCTAGAAATTAAGCTAGGAGTACAGCATTTCATTCCCTATTTCTCAGCTAATTTTTTTCCGTATTTGAATTGTGCATTAAATTACCCAGACTAGGGACTTGACCAGAATACACCATAGCTCTCCTCTGGCCACGTCCCTTTAACTCCTCTCTGCGGACAGCTCAATCCTTTTTAGACTACCTACTTTCGACAGAGGCTTTGGGCTTCCCAGACAGAAAGCACTGATGCTTTTCCTTATTCAGTGCAAGAAAACAAATGCAGTTGGCATATTTCTCCTAGACACATTTCACAAAGGCAATGCATGCACAGCTAGCATGTTTTGGAACAAACAAAAGCCACTGTTAGTGAGAAGAGATAAACTCGAGAATATGGCTGATGGCAAAACAAAATTCTAAAGGGAAGGATCAGAAGTCTCCAAAGATGATTCAGAAGGCACTAAAGGTCCCTGATCTGCAAATAGTCAGGGGCTAGAAGCATACCCAGGGGAGGTATCATCTCCTTTTCCTGTTTTTATAATCTTTCCTCTTGGCCACTATCAAGAGACATGATGTACAGGCTAGGGAGACCTTTGATATGAAACAGGGAGGCTGCTCTTAATGTTTTTATGACTGATGAGAGAAACAACAACAATAGCAGTTTAAAAGTAGGGAAGAGACCGCAAACTAGTTGCTCTGATCTGAATCAGCAGTTAAGAGGAACTAAAGGTCACTCGATTGCAACAAGTGACAGATCCTCATGCAATAGTTCTAGTTTTATTGCTTATGTAAGCGTGTTCTGGTCTCCAAGATGGGAGCACATAGAGTTCCAAGATGTCAAAGACATACATGGACAACCACCCAGAGGAGAAACCTCAAAGAATAATTCCTTAGTAACAATAGAACAGCAACTTTTGGATTGTTGTCTATTCATTATTCAGTGAACCTGTACTCTTTTCTTAAAAAGGAAAAAGTTACCTCCAAATAGTTATTTTGCAGTTGCAAACCTTAAAAAGTAGGCAGTTACTACAGAAAATCTGTGAAGAATAAACGAGTGGGTAGATTCATGCATTGTTCTACATGGCTGAACAATGAAGTGTTAAACTGACATATTACTTGCTTCTGTCTCTAGCCAAGCAATACGATAAAAATTAGAAAGTTTACTACAAAATATATTAAAAATTAACATGAGCCTTAAAGATCTCAGAAGTCTTAGCTGTGCACATTGGTATTACAATTCAACGTTTTTAAAATATGGGGATATTTGCTAAGCAGAAAAAAAAAAACCAAAACAAACTTTGAAGATACAACTGGTACATACTCTTCATTTTTATATTTAATCCAATAAATATTTTTACAAGTTACTTTATTCAGAACATGAAAAATAGGTAGCCCCTGAGGAAAGAGCCTTTTTTCTTCTTTCCACTCGATATTTCAACCTTCTTTTCAGATACATTTGGTCACTCAGTCTGAAGGTGACTGGCTGGAGATACTAGTTGTACAGACACCTGCTCTTCCTGGTGTATTTCAAGGTACACCCAGAAAGGACATTTTCTTTTTCAAGATTTGTGTGCTAATTAATAGCAAATCAGATGCCCTCCAAAACAGGATAAAATTGAACCCCATGAGACTATAACACTGTCTTGAAAGTCTAGAACACACCCAAGCAAAAAACCAAAACACACACCCCCCACACCACACCAAACCGTACAATAAAAACCTGTTTTACACAAGAGACAGTACCCACAGAATGGTGGAACAGACTCTTCAAAGAGGTCTCCAGGAGGGAAACGAGTACTAAAGGCTAAATATTTGGCACTAGTGGTTGACTAACAAGAAGTATTCCCAACAGCTGTTATGCCCTGCTTCATTAGTGTGCTCAGAACTAAACAGACATTCAGCTGGCAACAGCTCAAGGCTGGTGAGCACCTTGCAAACATCCTTCCAGCTCAACTCAGAACAAGGAGGGGGGACAAAAAACCCCCACAAAACAAGACTCTTACAGTACCAATTAAATGTTACAAAAGCTAATGCGATTTCCCAGGTTTTATAGAGAACAGATTAGCAGCTGAAAAACATGTATTTAAAAGGCAAATGCAGTACTGGTACTCTTGTAGCTTCCGGAAACAGGCAAGGGCTCTACATCATTACTATACAAGTCAGTCATGATGTGGTTTACATCCATCCCATAGCCAAAGGAAAAGATGCATTATATTTGTTGTATTGCTTTGCATATTCTTGGTTTCAAAAATTCCTATTCTAGAAACAATCACTTGTGTTTTAATAAGGCAACCTACACGGTCTACAATCAACAGAAATTCAGAACTCCAGATACCCTACTATACAACATCTGTCAGAACACTATTTACTTGTGATTTTGTTTATATTAACACATTTCCACCACATTTAAAAAAAAAAAAAAGTATCTTTCTCACTTCCATTAACGCTATTTATCTTCCATCCAGAACAGAATAAATTGCAATCCCCAGCCAAATGTAAGGAACCAAAAGGTACATCATATTTAAAATGCTGTAGTTTAGTTATGTTCTAGAAAGTATGTACTGTTGATGTGAGCAAATTTCTAGGTACTTAATTTGATACACCTTGATTTTCCAGGCACTTACATCACCTATTGCCTCCAGAGGCATCTTGTACATTTAAAATGAACCATTTCTATATATGGGATAGCTTCCTTATTTAAGATTTAAAAAAAATGGTTTCCAAGTCCTTTATGTGAAGCCAAAATGTCAAAACTATTCGGAGCAAAACTACATCATTATTCATAAAATAAAGGTGCAAGAGCAACCTTAAAAATGCAACTAGAGAAGTAACCTAAACTTTATTTAAAATTTTAACTGAAACTTCTAGCAAACAGAGCTGAGCAACCGGGGGATCTTTTTTGTAATTTCCTTGTTCCTCATCCCATCTGACTATTCTTCATTTAAAAAGACAGTTCAGGAGGTAATCTGCCTATTTCATTGCAGACAGCTTTGCATATTAAAATAAATTAACAGAAGTAACAAAACAACTGCTCAGTACAGACATGAGGAACATAGATATCGACAGTTGAAAAGAATAGAAAAATATAGACTAAAGCCTGTTGGTCTCAAAATATTTTACATGAGTTTCAGTATCATTATCTTCACTTTGTAAAGAAAGTTTGCTGAAGATCACCATGTAAGCTAGTCACAAAATTAGAAAGCCTCAGCCCACACTAGATCTACAGAACTCCCTATATAGATTTATATATTCATAAAGAAGTACAGAGCGCAAAACAAGCATCATATATTGCACAATGAAAAAGTTGAAAGCAGACAAAAATGGAGGATAAAGAAATTATTATTTCAGCATTTCAGTTAACAATTTACTAAAAACCCCATCTCTCCAAAATTCACATGCAAAATACGTGATTTCTCACACACCCAAGCGGATGCTGTTTAGAAATGCTTGCAATAACATGCATTTTTCTCTACCAAGACTGTCAAAAAAACCCAAACTTCTGTTTTGCTTAAAGTAAGGTCTGATGAGTTACTGGTTTCTAGAGCAGTCAGCAATATTAAGAGTGAAATGTACAAAAAAGTTAATGTATTTATACTTCTTTTTTCTGCCTGTGCAGAAGCTCACCATTAGACTGGTAATATTTCCTAAAGGTTAGAACACATACACAGAATAAATGCAAAAAGCAGATTTTTCAACGCTCACTTAACCCAGATTATTGTATGTGCTTGACTTGATCCAGAGCTCCCTTAAAGTGAATCTTTTCACTGATCCAGTGGACTTTAGGACTGGTCGTTGGCATCACCATCCCCTTCCTACCAGTGAACATATTATGACCGCGCCAATCAGATTTAAATTGTGTATTGCACCCAAGACTGAGTAAAAGAAGAACGAAGTAGGAATTAGAACTACTTACCAGAAAGGCCGGTATACAAAAATCCTAGTCAGCAAAAAAATAGCATGTTAACCATTACATTGAAAAGACCAACTATAAGCATCTGCATAAAACTCAGGAAACTTCATACTTCTCTTCTTGATGCTGGTCCTCTTGGTCACTTAGTTCGTCATCATCTACCATATGCCCAAATGGTTCAGAAGAAATTGATACCATATTAGACAGAATAACTCTGCTGTCACTGCTTCCTGTAAGGATCAGCTGATCATGAGAATGATTGTATCTGACATTCCAGACCCTAAAAAATGAAATCAGAAAGAACAAAAGGCTATTCTTGGCAGGTACTGCATCAATGTTAAAGGATTTTTTTTTTCTAAAAACAGCACTAAAAACTGATCTGTGACTTAAATATTGTAAGTATGCATAGAAGTGATGTGCCTCACTCCAAAGACTGCCATCTTCATATGGCTTTTAAGCTTCCACATGATCTGTTTTCTGAGGTGTCTTTAAAACTCAACAAATAAGTTTAAAAAAAAACCCCAAAAACAAAGAACAAAACACACTATTCAGTGGTATCATTCCTTGAGGGTACATGCCAATTCATTGTTTAGTAAGTCAGATAAATATTTAAGTTCTAAATATAAAAATTTGCCCAGAGCAAAATATGGATTAGAAATACCCTGTTAAACAAAATCTCACAACATTCTTACAGTAAAGTTTAAAATAGACTCTAAAACAAAAGTAGGATTATATTTCTCTTCAATTTTAACATTTTACATATCAAGTTAATACCAAATGTCTTATGGTTCTTGTTTTATTCTTTTTCTTTTAATCTTCTGGAAAAAAGTATGAATGCTGCTTCTGTTAATTCACATCTTCATTCCCCTCAAAGTAGCTTCAGGGTCCAGATTTATTTTCCAAGAATTACTCCAACCCAAATTTTGTAAAATATGAGCTGCTCATCTTTTCTTAACCACTGAAGTCTGCAAACATCAGACAAGATTCTCTCCTTGCTCCAACTACAGGCCAGAGCAGTAGATACAGGCTCTAAATATTATCTCAGAGAATAAAATGACTCTTGCATATTCTGGCTTAAGGGCTGTGAAGAGCATGAAAAGAAGTGTGGCTGAATTATTGAGCATTTCAACCATTCCACAACAGAAGGATAGATGGCAGCTGATTTTCTGCACATCAGGTGCAACAGATCAGGCTCAATTTGAGCAGGCACACCTGTGTCCCAGCTGGCCCCTACAAGCCAAGTTCCGTGCTGTGCTTCTCAAAGGTGTACCCTATCTCCCAACAATGTTAACGACAGTTTCTTGCCAATTAGACTAACGTTGTCTAAACTCTTAATTTACAATCACACAAGGAACATTCACACATTGAAACCCTTCCTCTGTGCGGAAAAATGATTATTCACAATAGCACAAACATAGTTAGTTTGCATTGTTCCTAAACAGTAAAATAATTAGCTGAATAAATTACATAAGCCATCCACCCACAAATCAGCATGCAGATAATTTGTTCTACCAGTGGGAATGCTCCTCTAGTGTCTTCACTGGTTCAGTGACATTTCTTGTGTCCCAGAATTTCACCTTGCAGTCATCTCCACAGCTAGCCAGGTAGTACTGTTTATTGGGATTAAAGTCTAGGTCTCGTACCAGCTGTCCGTGTGCATTTTCTATGCAATATATCTGTCTGTAAAACACATTAAAAAAATTAAATGGTCTATAAAAAGCTAACTGCACTCCACTGACAGGAATCTGTTTCCCTGGAAACTTGCATAATCCCCTTAGCACCCGCAGACCTAGAGTTCCCACCGCTGGTACATAGTTTAGGGAAATCCCAGCTGTTAACAACAGTGACTTGTATAGATTTCTCAGCTTGCATTGAAGCTTTGCTCTTTCCTTCTTTGCATTAGGATCGTCTGGAGCTAAAAGGAAACAGTTGTTCCAGATGATTCTAGCACAGCTCTCTTGACAACTGTTATGAAATCTCTGCTACTAAACCACAATATTTTCAGATAAGAGCTTCTTCACCCCTAAGTAATTATATTAATTCTGTATTTATGACATCTAGTTCTCCCTACATGAAAAGCTGAGATGCAAGGGATGCAACACATATGAACAACAGCTTTTCATTATTGCACTATTTTGAACTTAACCTTTTTGAGCTCTGGCATTTATCATTAATTTACCTGTGGCCCTTAAACTACTCAAGCCATGTGCATACTCATCCATCTGGACCGCTTCAGAAAACATTTGTAGTACTGCTAACAACCTAGCATCCTTATTCAAAATATCATGTTCCACCAGTTTCTCTCCCTACCTTGCCTCTTAAACTTGGGTTTTGTTTTGTTTCCACTATTGCATTACCAGTTTTCTCAAAGCCACCATCTACCAAAGCTTTGCTTAGATTTGACAGTCTCCTACAACCTTCACCAGAACTTGTCAACACTTTGTAAACTTTTTTCTTTCTTAAAATGAAAGATGTTTCTCTTCAGAAAACATAGACTGACCAAAACTTTGTATTTCTTGCGCTGTACATATGGTCTCCTGTCAAGACCAGACAGAGAAGTCTCTTGCTGTTAATACCTAACTACTAATACAAAGGAAAGTAGCTCCATAAGGAGAGATTCAAAGTATAGCAGGCCTATACTAAGCCCTATCCTGAGAGCTATGGCAGTCACTCGGGATAGAAGATATTACCTAGATATCCAAGGTCAATACTCTTCTCAATTTCAGAGATTAAGGATATCACTGAGGTATGCCTTTCTACCAGATATTCTAGGAGCTGAATTCAACATTTCCTCTTAATTTCTTGAAACATTTTTATGGGAAAATTTTTAAATCTCAAACATGCTTGCAGCAATAGAACACTTTTCCTCCTTTATTGCACCTTTCACTTCTTTCTTGCACTTCTTGCATTGCTCATGGAAATGTGTGTAAAGGCTCAAAAAGAAATACCACTGTCCACTGTATATTCAGCAGTGCCTACCATGAAAGTCTTTATCCCAACTTAACTATCATTCTGACCACTCGATCCCTTTCCATCCTGTGGTGGGTTGACGCTGGCTGGATGCCAGGTGCCCACCAAAGCCATTCTATCACTCCCCCCTCCTCAGCTGGACAGGGGAGAGAAAATATAACAAAGGGCTCGTGGGTCTAGATAAGGAAAGGAGAGATCACTCACCCATTACTATCATGGCCAAAACAGACTCAGCTTGGGGAAAATTAACTCAATTTATTACCAATCAACCAGAGTAGGGTAATGAGAAATAAAACCAAATCTCAAAACACCTTCCCTCCAGCCCTCCCTCCTCCCCAGCTCAAATCCACTCCCAGATTCTCTACCTAGGCCCCCGCCCCCCCAGTGGCACAGAGGGATGGGGAATGGGGTTTACGGTCAGTTCATCACACGTTATTTCTGCTGCTCCTTCCTCCTCAGGGGGAGGACTCATCACACGTTATTTCTGCTGCTCCTTCCTCCTCAGGGGGAGGACTCATCACACTCTTCCCCTGCTGCAGCGTGGTGTCCCTCCCACGGGAGACAGTCCTCCATGAACTTCTCCAACGTGGGTCCTTCCCACGGGCTGCAGTTCTTCACGAACTGCTCCAGTGAGGGTCCCTTGCCCGGGCTGCAGTCCTTCAGGCACAGACTGCTCCAGTGTGGGTCCCTCGCGGGGTCACCAGTCCTGCCAGAAAACCTGCTCCAGCGTGGGCTCCTCTCTCCACAGATCTGCCAGTCCTGCCAGGAGCCTGCTCCAGCGCGGGCTTCCCGTGGGTTCACAGACTCCTTTGGGCATCCCCCTGCTCCGGCATGCGGTCCTCCCCGGGCTGCAAGTGGAGATCTGCTCCCCCGTGGACCTCCCTGGGCTGCAGGGGGACAGCCTGCCTCACCATGGTCTTCCCCATGGGCTGCAGGGGAATGTCTGCTCCAGTGCCTGGAGCACTTCATCCTCCTCCTTCTGCACTGACCTGGGGGTCTGCAGGGCTGTTTCTCTCACATATTCTCACTCCTCTCTCTGGCTGCTGTTTCTGTGTCTGTCCTGCAACTTTTTTTCCTTCTTAAAAATGTTTTCATAGAGGCACTACCACTATTGCTGATGGGCTCGGCCTTGGCCGGCGGTGGGTCCGTCTTGGAGCCGGCTGGCATTGGCTCTGTCAGACATGGGGGAAGCTTCCACCAGCTTCTCACAGAAGCCACCCGTGTAACCCTCCCACTACCAAAACCTTGCCACACAAAGCCAATACACTTCCCAAACATGAATATTCTTTTCTTTCACTCTATCATGCTACCTACGACAATAATACCTACACTGAATTTCCCACTCACATCATGAATTAAGGCCAGACCACATGAACTTTTTCTCCAGCTACTGGCTCCACCTTCTCATATTCTTTTTTCATATTTTTTAGAATATGTTCTTGGAGTCTGAATTTTCCTGATACAATTCTCTCTTTAAATCCATTCAGCCTAGTGTCTGTCTCCTCTGCTTCACAAGCTTTTCTCTGATTAAGACTGCTAGTCTAGGATTAAGACCAGTCTAGTCTAGGAGTCTTCCCACCAACATCTTTTTTTCCTCCCCTTCTTTGTTTGCTATGTCCAAAATAATATACTCCCTCTATCTTACAGCTATCATAATCGCACTATGTGGAAGTGGCTATTTCTAGCTACTTCTTTAGTATCTCTCCTCTCTTATTCTTTGCCAGTATAGCAGTTTTCTGTCCTTGATTCCCTACCCCTCCTCATTTTTTGCTTCTTATACTGCCACATTTTATACTGCCCTGACTTTAAACTCCTACTTCTAGCCTAACTAGTCATTATCAAATATTCACATCATTCTAGACATATTACAGTGTAATTGCAGATGAGACTTAGTCTTGCACATATTTTTCAAGTACACTGCAAACAGCTCTTTGGCATAGCCTAGTACTCGTAAATTGGTTCAAGGACTATCTAACCTGAGCTTCACTTAAAGTAATTAGAATTGTGGGGTTTGCTTTTGTTGACCAAGCTACGCTTTCATTGAGAATCTTGTTAATGTCTATCTGGACTATCTATCTTTCATAAAAGTTACTCAGAGTATTCACTTAATGCAAGATAGAGATGCTTTTTCTAATGAGACAGAGCATGTAGCAGACTTCACAACATTTAACATTTTCTGCTTAGAAACACAGGCTTTAATCTTAAGGTCTGCATGCTATATATTAAAAATAGGATGATTACAAAAACATCACAAAAAGGCAACTTAAAAACCCACCCTTTCTCCTTTGACCTTTCTTTCCTCTCTTGTACACTTCATTTAAGAGTCTTCATAAATGAAAGCATACACATATATATACGAAGTTAGATTTCTATATATCCTTTTACAAGGCAAAGAACAGGACTTCCAAACCTGATGACAAATGTACAGGAAGTGACTTTTAATTACTATATTTGTATTTTTAGCTTTTGTTCCTTAAATTAAATAAACCTTTTCAGCAAAAACACCCAGGGCTGGCAAACACGGGGATTTATTGCTACACCCCTGAGCTGGCAGGAACCATAGAACTAAATTTAAAGTCATCCCCCTTTAAGGCAACAAAAGTTATTACAAGACATCAGTCTTCTCGGTTTAGTGATAAATTACTATGTGCTAAGGGGATAAAGCGTATCTTAAAAAAGCTTGCACAGGCTTTAGTAGTCATGGCAACAGATGTGCACAACATTACTCCTTTGCTTATCAAAATCACAGCTGAGCAGGGGGGAAAACACCTTATTAGGTATATTCAAAGCTTTAATTGATTTGGCTATGATTTTGATAGATTCAGTAGTTTCATATAATCACCATGCTACAATCTTTAATATAATATAGTATAGCATACTATTTGTTAAAATCAGAAAAGTGAAGAGTGAACTTAACCTGTGAGCTACCTTCAGAGATTAAAGTTACCGTTAAATAGTATGCTATGAAGACAGTTCATAGCTTAGTCAGGACTGCTGTTAAAACACTTTCAGGTTGAATTACAGAACAGCTTCATTCAGGTAATGCCTATATATTGAGCAAATCATCTTGAGACTAGTACATAGTTCAGTAAAACTCAACATACAAGTTAGAATTAAAGCTGAGGGGGGAAACCCAGAGAAAACCCTTTACTAAATTGTAAATATATCAGCTATGCAAGCCCAACCATTCCTTTTATAAATGATAGCTTTGCCACATTTCTAATATTAAAAAAAAAACAAACAAACAACCAAAACGTTAGGAGCAATGAAAAAATCTATTTTCAAAGGAGACTGTATTTTCTAGAGAACAAGACTGCAATTTCTCATTACCTCATGCTTCGTGTATCCCATCCTCGAACAGTGGTATCATTGGCTGTTGCAATCTGTGTACAATTATGGTGTGGACTCCATCTTCCAGAAGTAAATTTTAATTGTCCTTTCCCTTCCAAGGCTGTAGAACTAGAGAGCTAAAATAATGAAACAAAGCTGGCAATGTTTCTAAATGTAACGCTAAAATGAAATTAGTTCCACTGAAGACAAAAACTGCACAATAGCCTATTGTTCCAAGTGTAACAGACTATCAAAATCCTAGGATAAAAAATGGAAAAAATTAAAAGCTAGGGCTGATTTTGTATCTCACAAAGTAATTTTTACAAAGGCTTATACAGTGTAATGTATCCAGAAATATAAGAAGTACTGTACTACTTTATAAACTAAAATAAGCAACCTCGGATCATTTGTTGAAACAGTAGATAGACAATATGGGCACATTGCACAAATCTGTAGCTGCCTCAGACAAACACACACATGCATGTAGTTTCATGAACAGTCTTACAAGACTGTTTTTCCATGTCAAAATGTCAAATTTTATCTGTAGGAACAGTGTCAAAGACTCTTCAATAAACATATAGCAGCTTTCAAAGATAAAAAAATCAAGGCCCAGGTGCCCACGTCATCACATACACGCCTATTAAAATAACAGTGAGTACTAGATCACAAATCTACAATCTGTGAGAATTAAAGGTTTCAGTTCCAAAACCAGGCTTGCATGTCATTGAGCAGACAGCTCTCCATCTCTACAGTTAATGAAAAGGTACAAAGCCATCAACTTTCTCTTTGAAGTTGTACAGCAAGTTATCCTCCAATTCCATGTGAATGCGGGGAAAAATGAAGCTGCAAACACTGCAAATTACTTTGACTTCTAATCACGTACTGAAAATGATTGTTTAATATCTAAAAGGGGGTGGGGAGAAAAACCAAAATACTTGCATTTTAATCAGATATAAAATTTATACAAATTTCCAGAGGCTAGGCAGACAGCAGACTTATTTGGTTACCTTTCACATGATGTTCATATTTCAAAATGTTTCATTAAGTATTTCACAAAAGCAGATTACTGTGCTGGATCTTGTTGGATCACTTTTCTCCTTTACCTAAATCCTAACACATCATAAATATTCTATTACATAGAAGTTTTCTCAGCACAAATATTACACTTTGATGGATGAAAAAGGCTAAAACATACATACTGCTTACATTAACTTTAACTGATGTCAACAGAAAAATACGCTGGCAATACAAGACTGCTTAAATCTATTTGTATATGGTACCAATGTCCATTTCTGTATATTGCTAACTTTTTACTATTACAGTTTTACCCAGAAGATCATATTTATTTAGCATTCAGATTAACAATCTAGAAATCACAACTCTTCTATCACTGAAGTCTATGCTACCTAAGATGTGTTGTCTTCCAAACATTTTGCAGTTGGTTTTGGTTTGGGTTTTTTTTTTTGTTTGTTTGTTTGGTTTTTTTAAGAATGTAGAATTCCCAGCATGCAGGATCATATATCGCTCCTGTGTTCATAAGTGATATAATGCTGTGGTCAAATCTACTCCTCTAGCACCATTCCTCTTTAAGTACAAATACTGTCTGAAAGCCTTTCTACCACTTGCAGATTATTAATATAAAGAAAAATACTGCACAAGACACCAGACGTGGGATAATAAAGTGCACTGTTTATTTTTTGACACATACTAGATTCCAGGCACAAGAGATTATGCAGAGTTAGAGTGGGTCATTTAAAAAATTAAACTAATTTTCTTTAGTAAGCACTCTTGGCCACACAAAGCTCAGACTGGGGGAGAGGAGGGAAGCAAATGTTAAAGTGAGATAGTACCAACAAAAAGAGCATCTTTCATCAGGTATTTCCAAAATCTGTTTTTGAGACAGAAAGCATCACATATCCAAAATATGACTTGGGCAGAAGGTCTTTGTCAGCAGTAGACAATACTTTCTCCAGCATTCCAGACATATTTTATTTTTTTAAAGTCTCCATTTCAACTTTTATCATGTAAACTATTATCAAAAGATGAAATTTTTTTTCTTTTCAGCCAGAAGTTTAGGGGTGAAGCCAGCACACGCATCCTGCACTATTTCTTAACAACATATATGAAAAAAAAAATCACATACATGTTAGATTGGTCATCCTTGCTTTTCCAAGCAATTCTTAAGCACTTGCAGAAATTAAATTACATCTTTCCTCCTATGGATGTCCAACTATGAATACAGCCAAGTTCCCAATCAACTCATAGTAAACTTGTGTTAATAAAATGAAATCCCAGAAGTTACTGAGTAAGCTGTTGTTCAATGTTCTTCTGCATGTCTTCTATGAGCTGGAAAGGAACTACATGATTCAAATGACAGCTAAGAGGTAAGGGGAGGAAATTTTCATACATAAGAAGGAATCCTTATGTAGCAGAAGGAAGTCTGCAAGTCTCCTTCTTGGAAATCCAAGAAATGAGCTTGAAGGAAACAAAGCTAGGAGTTTGGAATCACAAATGCATGTTCAAAAAAACCTTAGCTTTAGTTTTAATTCATAACTAAATATACAGACAGGTAAGCAAGCTTTCTTTTTATCTTGAACTCTTCCCTCCACTTCTTTAAAGGCAGAAAAGTTGCCTACAGAAGGAAAGGAAAACATGACAAAGGTATATTTTAGGCATTAATCTCACATGATGATTTGGATTTGTGCTGCCCAGAAGATGAAGACATGCAGCTCCGAGAGCCTCACCGGATACTGAAGGACAACAATTCATCATAATATTTTATAAACACAAAATGTGACTTACAGTAAGGGAAAAAAAAAAAAAAAAAAAGGAAGCGAGTAAGATCAGATGTCTACTTTTAGATAACAGAATTAGCTATTGTTCTTGCATTGTGCAAGAACCACACATTGACTTTAGAAAAAAGTCTGGACAAAATGAAATCTCAAACCGTGTAAAATGGTTATCAGAATATAGATGGATTTAATACTGTTTATAAGCGCTTAAGTGGATCAGTCCCTAAAGCTGGTAACATTAAGAACAATAATAAAAGGGCAGTACGGTATTATACTACAATTACATGAGAGCAATGATTTGAAATAAAAATGGACAGTTCTGAAAAAAATTAAGCAACATAACATGATCAGAATAGAACTGTATATATTATCCTCAGTGAGGGAAGGGGTTTTACAAAAGCAAAGTATCTGGATCTGAAAAAGTCTATCCTAGCTTTGAAGGACTGACTTCCGTGTATTCAAATAAAAATAAGTTGTAGTAATTGACGTTTTAATCAAACATCAGTAAGGACTGAGATGCCTTTTTTTCTGCTTCAAATTTTCATCTCATAAGCACTGATTTGGAAAGAGGAAAGGATAAGCAGTATCCTTAAAAAAAAACAAACCGCAATATATATTAACCTCTAGAGGGCACAGAAATTATCTAGAAAAACCACAAGCAGCATGGAGACAGTGAACCAATTGTTCATGCTCTCTTCCAAAAAAAGACCTATGGGCCATTGAATGAAGCCTGTATAAGTCAGATTCAACAGTAAACAAAAGAAAGTGGTTCTCCACCCAATGGACTCCTTGACAAAAGACACTTGAATGCATAAAGCTTACTTATGTCCAAGAATAGAACAGGAAAGTACTTGGAAGAAAGATCTATTGAGGGTTACACTAAACAGACAAACCTAACCGGCTCAGAAAAATCCTTGGATTGAGAAAAGTAGAAGACTGACTGAGTGTCAAGGGCAAAGTATCCAATACATTTGCTCCACTGAACTTTTCCTTGGAGTCTGCTATGGCCACTGCTTCAGGCAGAATACTGGGGCTGGATGGATTTGGGTATGGACCAGCATAATCATTCTTAGAACTGAGCAGCATGAAGCAGACAAATCGCAGAATTTATCAACTTCTCTTCTAAGGGTGGCTGAGAGGGCTGTACTTTTCTCCTCTAACAACATGTGAAAAACAACGCTAGAGGACCAGTTCTAAAGTTCTGTAAACTTCTGGATGAAATGGTAACCGGAAACATGTAAGCTCTGTTCCCTTACTACACTATCTTCATCTAATAAATAAGTTTTTATATGCAGAAATTGGCTTTAGTTTGGTTTTTTGTTTTGTTTTGTTAATGTATGAACTAATTCTAAGGTAGAATGACTAAAAATTAGTAATTGTCTCATGCATTTGGGAGGTCAGTTGTTTCCCTCAAACAGACTGTCCTGGTTTCAGCTGGGATAGTTAATTGTCTTCCTAGTAGCTGGTACAGTGCTATGTTTTGAGTTCAGTATGCGAAGAATGTTGATAACACTGATGTTTTCAGTTGTTGCTCAGTAGTGTTTAGACTAAAGTCAAGGATTTTTCAGCTTCTCATGCCCAGCCAGCAAGAAGGCTGGAGGGGCACAAGAAGTTGGCACAGGACACAGCCAGGGCAGCTGACCCAAACTGGCCAACGGGGTATTCCATACCATGGGACGTCCCATCTAGTACAGGAACTGGTGGGAGTGGGGGTGGGGAATCACCGCTTGGGGACTGGCTGGGTGTCGATCGGCGGGTGGTGAGCAATTGCCCTGCGCATCATTTGTACATTCCAATCCTTTTATTATTACTGTTGTAATTTTATTAGTGTTATCATTATCATTATTAGTTTCTTCTTTTCTGTTCTATTAAACTGTTCTTACCTCAACCCACGAGTTTTACTTCTTTTCCCGATTTTTTTCTCCCCCATCCCACTGGATGGGGGGGAATGAGTGAGCGACTGTGTGGTGCTTAGTTGCTGGCTGGGGTTAAACCACAACACAGACTTTGACACCAACCGTTAGAAAACATCTCCCAAGAGCAAAATATGTAGAAAACGGAGAATGTTCTAGTGCTCTAATTTGATTAATTTAGAAATTCTTATAACATCTTTCTAGATAACAAAAGTAGTACAAAATTAAAGTAAACACTACATTTCCTAGTACGTATAAATGGTTACCAGCGACACTTAAGCGATATTTTTACTACAAAATACAGGCTAGCATAAAAGTGTTAAAAATATGAAGATCTCTGTTAATTAAAATCAATCCACTTGGTAGATATTAGTAAACAGACTAGTTTCTTATTTCAGAATTTTCTCATTTGAAAAAATGGGATTATCAGTC